CTATACCTAAATAGTGATGATTAATTGAGTTTCATCAAGTTGAAGGGAGGAAGCCTCTGGTATTTTGTAGGCTTTTTCCCTGGCCCAGCTCCATTCAACATTTTAATTAGTAACTTAGATGAAATCACAAAAGGTAACTTTGTCAAATTTGTGGAAGACAAGATGGGAGATTTCAGATTTAGGAATCAAAACTGCACACTGAATGACTGGAACTAGAGATTAAGTTAGGAAAACTAAGAGTGATGAAGGCAAAGTGTTGTACATGGGCCTAAAAACCCAAGGAGGAATAAGACAAAACAGCATAGATATAAAAGACAGAGGGTTTTTAGCTAAGGGTTATGTATGGATTCAGCAGTGAAATGTGACTGCTAAAAAATGGTCTTTTAGTGTGTTAACAATGAGGGAAGAGCTGTCTCTACTGTGCTGCTAAGACCTAGCCAGACTGGCAGCACTGTGTGCAGTTCTGGGTACCATACTTTGAGAGGAATGGAGATTATGCCTCTTAAATAACCACTGAAGGAAGGAGGGATTATTCTGCAGCAAGGAAAAAAAAAAAAAAAGAAAATCATCAGAAACAGAAGTTTCCTGGAATCATGGGAAGTGCTGTCATATGGAAGAGGGGTTAGATTTACTCAATAGCAAAACTCACCTGAGTGTATTTTAAAGATCTAATTAGCTTTATTAAGTGATTCAAGAGTGGGGCAGCATCCCACCTAGTTAATAAAAGGGGCTTCAAAGAGCTACAGAAAAGGGGGAAGGTTTTTAAAGGCAGGACAAGGAAGTTGTAAACAAAAAGGGTTGTTTTGGGTGAGGTCATTTCCTTTTGGGGGACAGAAGGGGTGTATGTGAGGGACAAAAAGCAGACGGGGGAGGTCTATATGGCAGATTACCTCACTGGTGCTGACCAGAAAATTCCAGATGGACGTTTCTAGAGAAGGCTGGAACTGCAATTAGGTTAGGTATTAAGCCCCAGTTTGGTGATGTGAGCCGGGCTCAAGTGACTCTGTTTTGGGCCTTTGGTTTTCTTTTTAACAAAACTATCCCAAGGTTTGGACTACGACCAATAGATACATGCAACAGGGAAATAAATGTTTAAATCAGTGTAGATGTTGGTGCCATCAAAAAAAGAAAGAAAGAAAGAAAGAAAGAAAGAAAGAAAGAAAGAAAGAAAGAAAGAAAATCAATAGTCAATCTAAGAGAGAAATGGAAAATTTTATTTTAGCCAACCTGAGGATTATAACTTGGGAGACAGTCTTCCAGAAAGCCCTGAGGACTGTCCTGTCTGTTAGAGGTCAAAGCATAATCATATAAGCTTTTGAGACAAAGGATTATACATCAAAGTTACACATTGAGAGTTTACATAGTCACAAGGCAAGTATTGTGTCATCACGACCCCTTACAGGATTGAGAAAGGAATATTATCTCCTAAGAAGTTACTTTGTGGGCCCCAGGAGAAAATAATAATAATAATAAAATAAATAAATAATAATAATAATAATTATTATTATTTGGAGAGTAAGCATTCCTGTGTCTTCTAAGGAGATCGAGTTACTGTACAATGCAGATACATAATTCATAGTACAGGGGAGGGGGTAGTGGCTCAAATGATCAGAGAGATAATTTTATGTTTAAAAAATTTCTTGTCTTGCCTTAAAAATAATTTCATTTTGTATAGGAAAGAACTATCTGGTAGAACTATCTGGAGATGAAGTACATTACCTTGACAGGCAATAAATTCCCCCATCATCAATGAAAGTTTTGATCACAAGATACATGTCCATTTAACATCGTTATTGTAGAGGAATTTGAGGCATATCTGATGAACAATTATGCCTTTCAACCCAGAGATTCACTGATTCTGACATCAAATTTTAAATGGTTAAGAACAAAGTTGGCAACAAGCGTAGAGACGGTGTAGAATAATTTTTCAGAAAAAAAGGATTAGAAGGGAGAACAGGTCAAGCAAAGGAATTTTGTTGATAAGGAAATCTGGGTGTAGGGATTGGACAAAAAAGATCCAGTGGAAAGAGAGAGAAAAGCAGGAGGTAGTTTGGGAAGGAGGCTCTGTGGGAGACGGGAGGCACAATTTTAGGGAAGAAACACATTTCTGAAACCAACGTTTGTGAGGGGGCTAAGCATGAAAGAAGTCTCCTGTTCTCCCATTGGTCCTACTTTTTCTTCATAGATTAGTAAATTGAGTAGTTGTGTTGCTGAAAGATCAGCCCCTGTCCCAGATGGGCCGAATAACCCAGAGACAAGGTTTGGAGCTTAGAAGAAAAGAGGCAGCTTTGTTGCTTTGCCGGGCAAAGGGGACTCACCGCAGGCTAGTGTCTTCAACACTGTGGGCCCACCTAGGGGATGGGGTGGAGTGGGTAAAGCCAGAGCTCAAACAATAGAGCATTGATAACAATCAGCAGAATCATTTTCTCATCAGACGACTTAGAGTGGCATCATGATGGCTCCAGGCCACCAAGTCTATAGAGGCTAGCGGTTGTCACTTTTTCAATCTCTTTACCTCGTAAACACTCAAGGCGTGGTCTTCTTTGTGTTTAGCTTACTTCATAAGGTTACAGTTCTGTGCCCTTCTCCCTGGAGATCCACTCAGATTCCAAGCATGATTATTACTTTTGATTACTGAAATAAAGTAGAAACAGTAAGATTAATAGCTTTAGTTTCAACAATGGGCCGGGAGCTGTGAGTAGCAACAGGTTGGTCATGTCAGTTGACCGTTTTAAGAGCAAGCATAAGAATAAGCAATCTTTTAGCCTAAGTGTGGCCATCTTATTAACCTTCCTTCAAAAGTTGACCAAGGGAGAGTAAGGGTAGGCAGAGGATTAATGCGAAAGCGAAATAAAAGCCACCTTCTTCTTTACTATAACTTCCAGCATAATTTAGTCTTGCTTCTTGTCTCGCCCCACATCAGCTCTGCTCTTCCACTGTTAGAATTCGTTTGTCTCTTCTGAAGTTCTTCCTTAAAGAGCTGAGTTGTAGATTCTAATCTACTGATCTGATTGTCATGTTTAAGTGATCATTTCAAAATGCAAAATGTGACTAAAATTGTTCTGGAAATTGAAGTTGGATGAAAAAAAAAGTAAACATTTCTAGTTAAACCTCAGTCCTGAAGCTACATTCTGAAGACAACGTGACAGTCACAGAAGGAAAACAGATCTGTGAACGTAAAGAGAAATTATTTCACTCAATTCTGTCGAGTTTCTTGAAATAAAGGACCTTAAACTTTAGCATGCATAAATGGCCTGGAGGGTTTGTTAAAACAGAGTCCTGGACTCACGACCAGATTGATTTAAAAGGTCTGAGATAGGGGCCACGAGTTTGCATTTCTCACAAGCTCCAGGAGATGCTAATACAGTTGCTCTGTGGACTACTCTGGGTAGCACTGTCTTAAAATACAGTGCAAAGTGTGCCATCTTTACCATTATCTATCATTGTCTAGTTAAAAAAAAATACTATAAAATTTTGTTTTCTTCCTCGAGTGACTGAATCTTAAAATCATTCTCTTACTACTTCTGTGGCTCACATTCCGGTGTACTACCTGTAATTTAGTACTTCAAAGTGTCTTTTTATTTGAACACTGCAAAAGAAAAACTTCACATACTATAGAGATGTAGGTCGTTTTCAAATGAAATACAATGAAAAGAACTGTAAAATTCTTGCTGAATATTTTTCTGTCTTCTTGTTAATAACAGATGATAAAGGGGATAAAGGACGATAACACAACTCCTTTACTTAATTAGAAGCTCAGAATTAGAAAGAGCTTCCTTACTATGTGACTCAAATGTGAATTTAGTGGTTTGCATACTGCCTACAACAGTCCTATTTACTAGCTCTAGTTTGCTTTGCATCTTGAATATGATTTCAAGCATCTTCCTCCTCCCTTCAGCTTTCATTCCACTGAACCATTAATTAAAGAGATTCTTAGAAAGCATCTGTGCCAAGCCCTGTTCCATACTGACAGATCATACTCGGAATACCCTGTCGCAACTCCCCCTAAACATCGTGTTGTCAAACATGGGCTACAATGAAAACTGGCTGCGGAGATGGCAGCAGTTCTGTATCGGATGGGAGCTCACTGTAGATTCATCTTGATCCTTCATACCACCTTCTCCATCAATACATTGATGTTATCTGTGCAGGTAAAGTTGGCAGAGCTGAAACAAAGAATGGCTACATCTATGCCTCTCTTACATTAAGTTATGGGAGAAAGTGGCTGTCATGCATGGAGCCACAGGCATACAGGCTGACTGGAAACCTGTCTTTTTAGAGCTGGGCAAAGAAAACGGAAAAAACTGGGCAGAGCTCACTTTATCAATCCAGATACCATGTCATCAAACTGATATAAAAATCAATTTGAAACCATCAAGGTTCAAAATAATTTAAAAAAATGTATAAAGGGGAAAACCCCCCAGAGAGGTTTTTTCCCTCATTTGCCAAATTAAATCTTTATCCAAACACTTTAAAAATAAGCTATGATAAAAGATAACTCATATACTTAGTTTCTGTCTTTCCCTATTAATTTCCGTATTTCTCAGAGGAGCAGTAATGATGCACCACAGGTTAATACCCAGCTCCAAAATGGAGATTACAATAGTTACTTAAAAATAATATTTAATTGCCTCAAGGCCATCTACTCATTTTTATTTTTTCATACTACGGGTCATACTGTAGGGCCCAACTTGAAAGTCTGCACTTTCAAATGTATCCTGTATCACACGTACTGACAGACATTTTCAGAAAAGGGCTATTATTCCTTCTAACTTTTCACTTTAGTGGCATAACCCACTAACCAGAAAAAAGAACTCACACTTTATCTTTATTATTGGTATGAACAAGTTAAAATTTAAAAAGTGGTTCCGATAGTATTACGCAGCAATTAAAAAGGAGGAGTTAGATCTGGACATGATCTGGAAGGCTGCATATGATGCAAAATTCAGGCTGCAGGATGATACAGTGATGATAATATTAAGAAAAGATCTTTTCCCAAATGAACATATACTTTGTTTTTATTCTTATTTTTTTATATACTTTAAATATGAGCCAGGAAAAAAGGAATAGAACCATACACATCTGCTGTTAACTTTGGTTACCTTGGTTGTTAGCTGAGGCTAGAAATGAGGGTAGAAACATATATAGAAAGATTAATTTTTTTCTTTATATACTTTGTATGGCTTTATCTTGGAAACAATTTTAAAGAATTCAATAAATAACATTTAGAAGTGTAATGTGGATAACAGTTTAATGAACAATGCTTTTGGAAGGACTGGAACCAAGGACTATAGGGGAGGAATGTGCTGTACTAACACTGATTTAAGTATATAAAAGGTACACATCAAAAAGCCAATTATCCTAGGTAAGTAATAAATAATCCACAAAGAAAGTGAATATGAAAATGGCTTCCATGAAAAACACATGAAACCTAAAGACACTGTTATGTATAAGAAAAATATAATTATTATATTAAAAAGATAGTTTCAATTAACCAGACAAAATAATTGAACTATGTAGCAAAATGTAAACTTTCTACTGTGTTAACTTAAAAAAAATACTATAATGTCATGAAAGGAGACTAATATTTATCTGAAGAAGAAACTTCATTCAAGTTTTTAATACTCATGTGGATCTTATATAAACAATATGATCAAGGCAATAAAAATACAAAATACACTTTTATAAACTGAATTTTCTTCTTGAAAGAGTCACTTATAAGCTTTTATTTTGAAATAAATTTAAAGATGGTAATTGAGAAACCAAAAGTATCTCTGGGTAAGGCTGAAGACCCATTTGCTTGTTGTCCTTCAACTTTTGTACTATAACCTTGGCAAATTCTTCCCCTTGGATGTCACTGGTGTCCAGCAGTTGTCTGACTTTTGAGGTCCTTGTAGGTTTAGTACTAATGAGTTCATAGTCCTCCTTCATGATCAGATCCCTGGACAGAAGGGCATCCAGCGACTGGTTAAGGCAGGCTTCAGTCATCTGGCTCACAATGTCTTCTCTCTTACTCTGAATCCACTGCTGGGCTATTCCAGGCTGAAATCGCTCTGTGGGAGGGCAAGGGATGACAAGCAAAAAGGTGGGGATGGGTATATCTCTATGAGTAAAATCAGATGAAAAATGAAATAATAAAGCATAAAACCTAATTTTACTAAGATTGTGCTAATATGGAACGTTACCAATATTCTGGCGGATGCTATTAATTTTCAGGAAACATTCAGACACTTGGGTTACCTCTTCCCTTCCCCTCCAAGAAAAAGCACAGCCTTTTTATATGCTATAAATCATGAGGGCAAATATCAAGATTTTTTCAAGTCTTTTTTTTTTTAAACATAAAGGATACCTGCATATTTGTTAAATAAAAGTATATTTACCTTCAGCAACATATTAAGTCACATCTCCTCTTAGCACTCCCTCCCTAAACAGAGGTTCATGGAATACCATTTAGCCCTATTATTACATGTCAACACTCACATCTTTTGGAGTTGGAGATGCTTTTCTGCTTATGGTATGTATTTATCATACTGAAGAATTAAAAACAAACTGATTGCATGGCAAATCTATAAACCTACTGAACATATAGCTGTGAGGTGGCACCATTTACGAAGGGTTTCACAGTAGATATCTACCTGAATTTCCCTCAGCTGAGAGTGGATTTATTATCGCTAAAGAACACGGGGCAGTCTTGTGATCACAGCATGCTGCCCTCTGAGCCACAGAAATGTTACTGTTCCAACTGTGATTTACTGGACACTGATGCAGCACAGAAAAGTCTTGCGTTTTTCCTGTAAAACAAAAACATCTTCCTTAGGGGGTAGTGTAATCCCTTAGCTATTACTATTGGCTAAAATAAAAACAGCTGAGTCATACAGAGGGTAATATTCAGTGTCTTTAATTTTTCACTACCTAATAAACCTAATTCTACAAGTAAATATTTTTTTAGAACAAAAAAGGGTTTATGCTGAACGTTCTTACCATACTCCTGTCTGTGCCTGCCTGTCCTATGTACATGATAAACCATGGAAATTTACTTCTTCATCTAGTCCCATGTTTTCCTTGTGTTGTCTTCATCCTTTTGCATTTTGAATGTATCCTCTAAATGTATATATGTGACATGTGTCTTTCCATACTCTCCTTTGGTCATCTTATTTAACCTCAGGGCCTCAAATCACCTCTCTTCCCAAATCTATGGAATTAGATTTTGTCTTCGCTGAACCTTAGTCTTATATTTTTCAACAGCCCACTGGCCATCACCCTCATATGTGCTGCTGAACACCTCAAATTAAAAAAGAAACATTAAATTATTCACTAATTATTCATTAAACATTAATTATTCATCTTAACCCTAAACCTGTTTCAACTCCTATTTCTATTAATAACATCAGTGTTCTCCCAGCCACCAGGCTAAACAACTTGTTCAGCTTTATCTTTTTGTCTCTCTTTCATCCTGCAAGTGAAAAGTCATCAAGTCCTATCAGTGTGTCCCTGTAACATCTCTTACACCATTCTCCCCTTTCAGACTCTGGGGCAGGCCTCATGACCTCTCACCTGCACCACAGTAATAGACCAACAGTCTCCTAACGGCTCTCCCCACCTCGGGTCTCCTTTTCTTTCCAAAATATCCTACGTATTCCAGCCAGGATGAATCTTCTTAAAGCAAAATATTTTAACACGTCACACCCTTGCTCAAAAATTTGCAGTAGTTGCTCCCTACCCCGAGCAAAAGAGCCGGAATGGCTTAGCCTCACATCCTAGAATTCATGATGCTATGACTCCACCCTCTTGATCTTTTATCTCCTTCCATTTACCCTCTTTGCCAGCTAAACCCAACTACTCACTGTTCTCTGTGTTTTCTTGCTTCTTTGCCTCTATGTTGTTCGTTCTGCCTGGAAAGCCCATCCTGTATAACTACAGGATGTCCAACCTTCAGCCAGATATAACTTCTTCATGATGACAACATGGTGTAGTAGAGTGACATGAAAATATTTATCAAAAGACCTGGCTTCGAGTCTTGGATTTGCCAGCTACTAACTATGATCCAGAAGTCTTGATCCTAAGAATCTGTAAAATGAGGAATATCTCCCTCACAAGGTTGTTGTGAAAGTACTTTGTAAAAACTGTCACTGTCTCACTGTATCACCATAGTCCTGCATCCTTATCCCTTTCACAACACATTGCTTGCTATTTCATGCTATAATTACTTTGAAACGTTTCTCTTCTTTCTTACAAGAGATTCTTTTTATATCTTTCTGTAGTGTCTAATATAATGATCTTAATATTTAAATGTATTTGTTTAACATCACACTACTATTTCCACATCTTTAGAATGTCACTTTCTAAAAATGAGTTATGAATGCAAATGAAAGACATGTCACACAAACCATGACTGTTTGCCAAGAATATGACCTTGAAAGAAAATGAAAAACTTGCAAGTAATACTGATTGGACAAATTTACATACTAGGTAAAAAATCATTGTCTTGAGGAGCTGACAGGAACCCCGAGGTTCTAGGAGTAGTTTTACGGAGCTGAGAGGAGTCACACGATTCCTAAAGTAAATGGAAGATAAATGATTCACGTTAATGAGAAATCATTTTTAAGGTAATGCAGCTTTCATTTTTAAAAGGTTCTTTTGGCTTATTATAAACAAAGAATTAAAACTACTACAAATTAGACCTTACAAAATTAAAGAAACACACATATAAAATGACAAACAAAAATGAACTTGATTTATCAAATCAAGTTAGGGAGGGTGGGGCAATAATTAAATATATTAGAAATCATTATTTTTAATGTTTTTTACATAATCTCAGAGGCTTTGTCTGGCCAAAGAGAAATTTGCAATCTGCAACTCTGATTGCCTGCCGATTTAGAGCAAATGCCTATTACCAATGTCTTGGGTTCCTTTAGTATCCAGGAGTGGGAATCCATGGAAAAAGTAATGCAGAACTTGGCCCCAAGCCTAGCTCTGTCATGGAATTACTGCCTAAGCTTTGACAAGGCATTTCAACTCTCTGGCTCTCAGGTTCTTTTTCTGTAATATCCATCTAAAAACGTGCATGTGTGGGTCAAGGATCCAATGAGATCTGTATATAAGGATGATTCTAAGACTGTGCTTTAAGGTTCATTTTGAAGGTATTATGACTTTTCTGGAATCTGTAAAGAGGACATATCTTAAAAAAATCATTAATGTGAAATAAATGTGAATAAAAGCTACTAAAGAGATCTTTCTTTTTGGATATTAATCATTGGAAGAGGTAAGAACAAGGCAGGTATTTTAGCTCTTTTACATTTGGAAAAGAAGGTATAAATACAGTGGCCGAACTGTAATCAATGACTTGCCTACGTAGCATCCTGAACACCATCCATTATATAAAACAAAGACAGGGACAGAAGTCAATGCCTAACAAAGATGCAAGGACTGTGATTAGTGAGATGAACAATGCACTGAGAATTAAAGAGAGCTGGATTTCAGACTCACAGACACAGAACACAGACCCGTGGTTACCTTGGGGGAGGGGGGTTTGAAGGGATAAACTGGGAGTTCTAGATTTGCAGATACTGACAGGTACATATAAAATAGATAAACAAGTTTATACTGTGTAGCACAGGGAAATGTATTCACTATCCTGTAGTAGCTCATGGTGAAAAAGAATATGAAAATGAATATATGTATATTCATGTATGACTGAACTATTGTGCTGTACACCAGAAATTGATACAACATTGTAAACTGACTATAATTCAATGAGTTTATTAATAACATATTTTTTTCTACCTCCTGTGCACCATCATTTACAGGTATGTTCATAGATGACTCCATTTTCTTCTTGTCACAGAAGGGAATGGTACTTGAAGCACTCTGTAACTGGAATGAATGCACACATGTATGTACTTGAATTAGAGGTGATGAGAAAATATATGAGTGAAATACAATCTGCTTAACATATTTTATATGTTTATACAAAATCAATGGAAGGGAAATGTAAATCAGTTCAGAATATAATATATAACTTAAAGGTAGAGACAGTGTAGAATAGGGGAAGTAACTTTAGTGACACAGGTTTTGAACCCTGCCTCATATTAATTGGTTACCTTGAGCAAATTCATCTCTTAAAATGGAATAATATCTACGTGCAGGATCGGTCTAGAGATTGAGTGAGATAGTGAGTATACAGTACCTGGTTCAAACAAGGTACTTAATAAATTTCCATCTGTGTAGCCACCCATATTACTAAGCATTTACTTTACTTTAGGTGCTGTGATTGTATGTACTATTATTATTTTTCTTTTTCTAGATAAGAAATTGCGGAAGCAGAGTGCCTCAATGGAATGATGGGTGCCAGTAAGATCTGGTTTAGAATCCCAGGATATCTAACTGTTTGTTTTTGGACATGAGACCTAATCTTAGTTTATTTATCTGTAAACTGGAGATAAGAATGCCAATTTTACAAGATTACTGTAAAGAGGATTAGAAGTAATACATACAAAAAGGCCCTAAGATTACTTTGTAAGCATTAGATAAATTGTAGCTATTAAGCAGCTGATTTATTTAAATATTATACCTTTGAATTAAAATTGTTTAATGATTTACTCCGGTCTCTATAAACCAGGCTTGAATTAGCTGCCATCACTATTGAGTGATTTGAAACAAACCCATCAGTCTGCTTTTCTTCCCCAAACCAACATAACGTCAACTTCTCTACAGAACTTTAGAAGTTGGCTGTGTAGGGTGTTGTGTAACGTACTTCCCTATACTTCAGCATCTTGTCTATAAAACGGAGATGGGCGGTATTCTCTCCCTAACAGTTTTACAGAATTGACACAAGGATTCAAAAAAGAAAAAAAAAAAACAACAAAAACTACAACAACTCTGACTGAAAATAATACAGCAACTTAAAAACACTGACCGATGAAAGTAATGCTACTGGTAAGTGGTATTCAAGTACTTGAGAACATCCATCTTAAAATACTTAATTTAAAAAGCAAACGTTTCTCCCCCAAATTAAGTTTTAAACAGAGACCCTAGTATTTAAGTTGGTTGGGGACAAAAAAGGAACTGAACTGTTTCCTCTTGCATTTTATAACCGAAGTACACACTGGGCCTCTATTATTAATAAAAGTTCTACAGCCTAACATGGCAATAAACCTCAGAAAAACCCAAGATAACTGAATAAAGAGAAATCCAATAATCCAGACGGCTTTTACTCTGTGTATATCAAGGCTTTAGGGAAATAAAGATTTAAAAAGAAAAAAACCCAAAACTAGTGACTTAGGGCGTTCATTGTACACAACTGGCATTTGTTACGTATTTTAAATCCACATTTGACATATGGGAGGTCTGGAAATGTCTCTGAAATCTAGCGGTGGCCATTTGAATGAAATGGAAAAACTCTTTGGAGACAGATTAAAGACAGTATTCACAATCTCTGGTGAACGTGACTGCCCCAGTTCTGTAGCCTGTAACTGTGGAAGGCATATGGATAAAAACTATAAACTAAACCAAAAATCTCCATGATTTACCATTCTAACTTTCAGCATTCCGTTTAGCAATTTACCTTTGTTTTCTTTAGCTGAATAACAGCTTCAAGAAAAGTTATCTCTTCAAATGTTCTCATAACTGGTTCAAGTTCTATTAAACATTCTAAATAAGAAAAAAAAAGTTAAGTTCAGATTGCTTCTAGCCGTTAAAATGAAAAACATAAATGCTAATATTTAACTGATAAGGCCCTAGGTCAATTTTGCCCCAAACTGATGACATTCCATTGTCTTCAGACCTTTATTACAGGTATACAGATAGAAATATAAACCAATGGACTAGAATTGAAAGTCTAAAAATAAATTAGTCAGTTGTTTTTTGACAAAGCTGTTAAGGCAATGCAATGGGGTAAAGGACACTCTTTTCAACACATGGTACTAGGACAGTTGGATATCCACATGAAAACAGATAAATTTACTCTTACCTCACACTGTACACACAGTTAACTTGAAATAGACTGTACATCTAAATGTAAATATAGGAGAAAATCGTCATGGCCTTGGGTTAGGCATGATTCTTAGATATGACTTCAGAAACAGGATCCATAAAAATTTTTTTTGTAATTGGGCTTGAAAGAAAATGGAAAACTTTTGCACTTCAAAAGATGTTATTAAGGAAAATGAAAAGACAAGCCCCAGACTAGGAGAATACTTTCATGTGTCATGAATCTGCTAGAGCACTTATATCCAGAATATAAAAAGAACTCTGAAAACTTAATAAAAAATTACCCAATTTAAAAATAGACAAAAAACTGAATTTCACCAAAGGAGATACACAAATGGGTATATGTAGCCATGATCTGGACTGGATCATCTAAGGCGGGGGGGGGGGGTTGAGATAACAAACAGTAAAAGACCCTTATCAGAGCTGTGAGGCATCCCAACAATTAGAAATTAAGTATAGCAAGAGAAAAAGAGATTGAGGAAGACAGAGTAATAGGGAGTGTAGTCTCTCAAGTCTTGGAAGCCATCAGAGGGAAAGTTCCAAGGAGGGAAGAGTCAGCCACATGTATCTACTCTGCGGAGAGACGGAGATAAGCAGGATTTTCCAACATTCCCATCCTCGGTAACTCGAACAAATGCAGCTTTAGGGGAGATAGGAAAACAGAAGACTGATGTAAGTTTGTCAAAAAATGCATTAGAGGGGAAGAAGTAGAGACAACAAGTATGGACAATTCCTACAAGGTGTTCAGATCTACACAGAAGTAGGAAAATGAGGTGGCAGCTGACGGACAATGTGGGGTCAAGAATTTTTTTCTACATGAAGATAGGAGATAATAATAGAATACATCTGAATGCCGGCTGAATGACCCAGTAGACAGGCAATACAAGAGCAGACATAAAGGACAGAATGATGGAAGGGAGAGGTGTCCAGAGCACATGTAACACTGTTCACATTTGTGTTAAGTATACAAACACCTTTTTCCACTGTAAAGAGATAAGGCAAGAAAAAGATGGATCAATTATAACTAATAAGTTTGTAACCAGCATAACTATGAGGGAGTTCTCTTTTGTGGCTTCTATTTTCTCAAAGCTCAAAGGAAATATGGCGCATGGGGTGCAGGAGGTTTAAGAAGGGAGCACAAAAGACAGTATGTGTTACCCCTGTCTTCTCTTCCAAAGTTCAGAATTTATTAAGAAAAGTCACAGAATGACAGCCAGTGATCAAAGCATCACCTTTATTACTGATAAAGCTAATTGGAATACGTCCCTGGTTTAGATCTTCAGCCAGGGGCTTGGTAACGCTTTACTCTTGCAGCGAACAGCGTCACTCACTCAGCCACCGGCCTCACCTGCTTCCATATGAAGGAGCAGAAAATGTGCGCACCCCTTTATAAGTAGACTTATAAAGTAGGACAAAACTGAGGAAGGACTAGATAAGAATGCTCAGTTTTGCTCCAAAATTAACACATAAGGAGGAGTGCTGAGGGGCAGAGGGAAGCTGGAAATGTTCTTCCCACACTTTTCTTCTTGGGGATTGAAAAGGAATTTCACCTTCACTTTGGAAACGTGAAGAATGGGGCTGTATCACCGACAGCAGCATAAGCTGATTGTCGAAGATAGCAGTTCTCAAACTTGCAGGACTTTAAGGTCTCAGAATTCTTCAAAATTAGTAAGTACCCTTTTGTATATGTCAATCATATCTAGTGATATTTACTAGATTAGAAATTAAAGCTGAGAAAATTTAAAAATGTCATTGTGTAAGAGAACACAGCCTGTTGGAGCAATGATAGTGCCAACACACCTCATTTAGTCTGTTTTTCCAGAGGATGAGAGTAAAAAGAGAAGATAGTATCTTAGTATTTATTATTTTGAAAACAGCTTTGATTTTGTGAACCCCTTATAAAAGTCTCAGGGACTAACCCCGCCCTCTATCACCCCACCCAGGGGGCCCTGCATTGCGTCTTAAGAACAGCTGATCTATGAGAATGGAATAGATGTATTTGAGAAGTGTAACAGGATTGCCAAGAATTGTTTAGCACCTGGTTTTAGCCATTAATGTAAAGAGAAATCAATGAATTCCACTTCTGGCCAAGATGAAGCAACCAGGAACATTTTACCCTCCTGCCGGAAGCAACTGTTATATTAGCAAGACAAGATACGTGAAACAGTGTTTGCTGAAGACACTAGATATCAAGCAACCAAGGACAGTGATCTCTGAGTGACAGGAAACAACTGAGGTGAGCCTCATGATAGCCGATTGCCCATGCTTACTGCCTTGAGAGTTTCCAGCTATACCACAGGGAGAGGGAAATAAGATGGGGCCCAGTGGATGCTCAGAGTTGAGGAGACAGGGCTGAGAGTTTGGACAGACCAAGACAGAGTGCATATGACAGAGTAGCAAAGAAAAGAAGTCTGCAGAGAGAGACTGCACAGGGTTCCTCTGAAATATTCAGCAGTACTGAGCAATGCAGGGTGGAGAAGTCAGTAAGCCAAAATCCAGCGTCTTCAATGAATAGGGGAAAACCAGGAAGTCTGTAGAGAAGTAAGTATTGTCTAATGGCATGATCTCCACAAGAGCTGGAATTTTCAGAGAATGGAGAAGAAATTACAATTTGGAAGTGACACTGGGGACAAATCCTCTTACATGGCTCTGAGAAATAGATAAAATGTTACTCCATTATTATAGCAACTTCCGATTTTTTAAAATACAATGTCGATGAGCACTGGACATAACTTTTGAATGCAAAGTATATTTCATTGCTTTTTCAGTTGGAAAGATTCCCAGTCTATAGCTTGTCTTTTCATTTTTAAAAGCATCTTTTGGAATAAAATAACACCATTTGCAGCAACATGGATGGACCTAGAGATCGTCATTCTAAGTGAAGTGAGCCAGAAAGAGAAAGAAAAGTAGCCATATGATACCATTTATGTGTGGAATCTAAAAAGAAAGAAAAAAAGGACATTATGAACTCATCTACAAAACAGAAATAGACTCACATAGTAAAGAATCTTATGGTTACTGGGGAAAGGGGTTGGGAAGGGATAAATTCGGGAGTTTGAGATTTGTAAATACTATATATAAAAATAGATTAAAAAAGAAAACAAGTTTCTTCTGCAGCACAGAGAGCTATAATCACTATCTTGTAATATCTTGAAAAAGAATATGGAAATGAATACATGCATGTACATGCATGACTGGGACATTGTGCTGTACACCAGAAATCGACACATTGTAACTGACTATTTCAATTTTTAAAAAAAGCATCTTTTGAAGTGCAAATATTTTCCAATTTTTTCAGAAGCCTAATTATCAAATTCTTAAGAAATGGATCTTGTTTTCGATCTCATATATAAGAGCTCTTTGCTTAACCCAAAGTCATGAAGATTTTCTCCTACATTTATACTTAGCTGACGATCCATTCTACCTCTGAAATAAATCTTAATTCTACCTGCTTTTTCTATCTCTAGGATTACCACCTTAATCAGAAAACTCCTACAAGAGTCTCCTAGCTGGTCTCTGAGTCTACGTTTTTCTCCAGTCAATATCCACGTAGCAACAAGAGTGGTGCATCCTGAACTTACATGCCATTTCCCTGAAAAACTCACTTTAATGACTTTCCATTGTACCTGGAATAAATTTCTAACCTTTTTATGACAGCCAACAGCCTCGCCTACTGCTCTAATCTCATCTCATAAAATAAAAACAACACTGAATTAAAAAAACCTTTGAACTTGTCATCCAACTTGTGTAATATTTCAAGAAATATAATATTCACAGCATATTCACTATTTTTAAAATTCAAAACGTCCACATTAAAACTGTACACTAACTTAAGAAAGACGGTCTTTCATCTGGATTTTGTGCCCATCCACTTTCTATTAGAGAGACCATCAGTGCTCGATGAGGTATATCACACGGCAAAGTTTCTTCCTTCGTGTCAGGTCGATGTCCTTGTGACACGCTATACATAATCTGTAAAGGATTGGTGACTTCTGTCAAAACAAATATATTTCATTCATTAGCAGTATATTATGATCTAATATATTAAATACATTCTAAAGCCAACTGAATGAAAATGAGAGAATCTTAAGATCTTAGGAATAATTCATTACTTCCCTTTCTGTCAAAGGAATAAATATATCTCACCCACTGCCAGACTTGCTGCCTTTTGTGGGAGGAATTTTTATGTCACCTCTTTGATTTGGGGCTTGGCCATGTGACTTGATTTGGCCAACGGAGTATAAAGAGGGTAGCAAAGCCAAGAAGGGCCACAGCAACTAATATCTAATGTGAATGAGAAAGAAATGTTTAGTTTGTAAGTGACTGAGATTTTGAGGTTGTCACACAGCAAGCTGACCTAAACAAACCTCAAAATAGCCAATATTATCAGAAAAATTAAAAATTATTCTTCAGCTGGTCTTATAGAAGTACTAATTACATGTTCGTATAAAGAATTTTATAGGTGGACTGAATCTTAGAAATAAAAATTCAAAATTCTTATTTTGCAGATGAAAAAATGAGGACTTAAGAAATTTAGTGGCACAACAGAACTAATTATTATCACAACAAGAAGAATCTACAGTTTTCTGATTCTTAATCCAGTACTTTCCAATATATGGTAGATTCACACTGATACAGAATTCATACTGATACACTTTTCTAGTGTGTTTTCCACAAAATGGATGGTAGGCAGATTTAAGACAAGTGATCTTTATTTAGATCTGAGCATGACTTGCTAAGATTATATCACCTAGAACAGGGAAGTCAAAGTATATTTACCTTCAAAAGGGTGTTTTCTGGATAAGACTTCCCATGTGATAACTGCATAGCTGTTTAAGATAAAAATACACGTATTTTTACATTATAAATTAAGTATGCATAATAAAACTACAATAGTATTGATTTTTTAAAAATCTCTGGAGATTTTGAAAGTAACAAGGCAGTGAAATGCTGCTTAAAGAACCACCATGTAGATCCAAAATGATGACTGTTCATATATAGCTTTGTTTTGAAAGGGAATTAATACAATTTGAAAAATTAGGAAATTACTGTAATAAAAACTTGAAGTTCTAGGCTAGGATGACTTATTGTGGATTCTTCAACACCTAGATAAGCTGTGCCCTTTAACACATGATTTTATTATTCACATAAAATAAAGACTAATAAAAAAGACCGTCTCCTGTAACCCTGTTCTGTTCTTCCTGGTGCAAGTACAGTCTCCTTTAGCAGTGTTACGTGTCATCGTCACGTTGTTTCCCTCCCCCCATCAAGGTCAAATATGATAAAAACCCTTGAGTATTATAAACTGATAGGACAATAAGATACGCTTTTATACTTCTTAAGGATGTAAAAGTTGCTTTAAAGCAAGACATCTTTAAATTTAAAGATTTAATATTTAAAAATATTAACCATTGTCTCTAATTCATTTTCACCACACTTATGAGAAGCATAAAAATCATACTCTAAAGTGCATTTTCAAAATTCTGATTGATTAATCTTTTCTTTTTTTAGACAAGATTAACGCTGAGCAAAAGTAACATACTGTACCTGTATATATCATGCTTGACACTAGCCCTTGATTTTTGTCCAGGTTCATAGTTTTCAGGTGGCATGTAAATAATTGTCCCTCCTTCTGGGGCGGATTTACTACTTTGTGATTGGGAAAGGGACATCAAGCGCCATTTCGATAAACCAAAATCTGCAATCTGCAAGGGAAAAAAGAAAGTCATTTAATAATTTTCTCCTTAAAAAAATCCAAGAATTGGTTGTCATTTAAAATTTTTCTCCTTAAAAAAAATCCAAGGATTGTCTTTTTTATATCCATTGTATTTAGATGAGACCAGAGCAAATGTTATATATTAATATTTTATTTCTGTACATTCCATCAGTTTCTTAACAAATTGGATCCCACAGTGCTGAACCCAGTAACTAGAAGCAATACACACTGACTTGAAGTTCAGCAAAATACCATAAATTTTAAGAGGGAGACTAAGTTTTGAGAAATCAAACGAGTATCTTTTGTCCTTCATTCTGAATGAGCATACACACTGAATACTTTTTATGACAAGTAGCTTTTTAGTGTGTGCTTTCAAAATTGACCTCTACCTCACAGAACTGCTAAACGACTCGTATCTAATATGACTGTCGTGGTGTGTTGTTTTACAAGTCAAGTTTATACGTTCTTATTTACAGTGCTACAAACAGTATCCTTAATTCTGAAATAAGTAAAATCTCATAAATCATTATCATGTAACTGACACCCACCACCAAAAGAATCCCTGTTGACAATAGTCTAGATAGCGTACGAAGCATACGTCCACACGGGGAGTGCTTAGAGAACTACCAGTGACAAACATTCGGGATTTTTGATATGTCCTTTGTAGTTTTATTTCACTTACAAATTTTATGCAGATATTATACATTATCTTATAGCATTCTAAATGCCTAAAACATCCCCCCCTTTTTTTTTTAAAAAGAAAGACAAAAATGTAAGGACAGAAACAATATTTAGTGGACAAAGGAGTATAGGAAAACTTTGAAGACATTTATTTTAAATTACATAGACCTTTACACTGCGTAACTTAGGAATCAACAGAGTAGAATCAGCTCCATCCAACACACCGTTTGTGTTTCAATCATTTAACTCTTAAATATTTAATAATTTTAACAGAAAAATAATTTGTTTACTCTTTAGATAAGTTTGAGATAAAAAAAAATTGTGGTCCCACTCCAAAAAGGGAGGGAGTAGCCTGAAAGAATCTTTCCTACATTAGCAAAATGAAAGGGTAAGTCTCAGAAAAAAATTAGAAAAGACCACGAGGGAACATGGTGCCTGTACATGGAGAGCTAAGCTGAACTGATTTCTAAGGGCAATACAGCATGGACTCTGGAAGAGGGGTTCTGGAGGCCTGGTTATTTAGAGTGATGCTCTAATTCTACCAGTTAATTAGCTGTGTGACCTTGAGCAAGTTTTCTAATTTCTCTGGGCCTCACATTACCCATCTGTAAACTGGGGATAGTAACAGTGTCTATATCACAGTGCTGTACTGAGAAAATTAAACTAGATTTTCTAAGCAAAGCACTTAGAATAGAACCTGGCACATAATAAGTGACCTATTTATGTCGGTATTATTAATGTTTTGTACGTAGGAATAAACCTCTAAAGGTTGCTCTCATGCATGTAAAGCCAGCGAGCACAGTGTGCAGTTTCAGGGCCTTTAGTCACTTTTACGTGGTATTAAGACTCTGAGGACCTTATATCCCACACTCCTACTTGCCAGTCCAAACTCTATTCCTTCCACCCATCCTCTAAAAGCAAAACAGTACTCCAGCTGCACATCTGCTAGAATAATAAGCATCACTTTGAGAAGAAAAGTTTATTTATTGAAAAATACTAAAAAAAGAAACTTAGATCTGGTCTCATCTTGTACCTGAATCATAAATTCCAAACTATTGGGCAATTCAAGCTACTGGTTTGAATATGGTATTGGAGAAAAAGTATTCTGAGCTGGCTTCCTTATGCGCTCCTTTGACTTCACCTGAGGGCTTCATCCATGTGTTTTCAAGCCTCACCTAGAAAACTTCATCAGAATTCCCCCTATTAGCTAATTTAGTTTGGCTTTCACATGGAACCACATTTCTCCCCTTTCTCTATTATAAACACGATATACAAGAGACATGATTCATTAAATCTGGATGTTCAATAGAAGAAAAAACTGAAGACGGTGATGAGAGGAATACGAGTTCTGTGATTTCTTGAGGGGCTTGATAAATGTATCATTCAGCAATGAAGACAGAATAGCAGCCTTTCCATTCTGCACAAATCTTAATATGCATTTCAAAGCTAAAGGCTTTCTTTTTAATAAAGAAAATGACAAAAGCAATAAGGACTTACTGCATAGCACAGGGAATTATATTCAATATCTGGTAATAACCTATAATGGAAAATAATCTGAAAAAATATAGCTGAATCACTGCTGTATACCCGAAACTAACACGGTATTGTAAACCAACTGTGCTTCAATTAAAAAAAGATGAAAAATTAGAAGACATTAAAACACACTACTCATAAAAATCATCCATAATCTTATCACCCTACCAGAATAGCTATTTTAACGCACATAATACTATCCATTTATGTAAAACTATAAACTTATCATCAATAAGGAGCCATAAGGAATAACCTCTAAGTATTCTGGTTTCCACACAGGACTGACAAATAGTAGAGAAAGTAAATACTGTACATATAAATATTTTCATTTCAAAGAAGACTACCACTGGCTCATTTCTATCTAAGATACACTAATGGACCAGCAGATGACCAAACTGAATGTATTCTTTTTAAAGTAGGAAAATCTCAGTTGATCTCAATAAATCTCAGTTGATCTTAATTGGTGGTAAATGTTTTGCTTTTAGATACTGTGTTTCTGGTTAGCATTCCAGTAAAAAAGCTTACTTCAAAAAACTACAGCAAGGTGTGAATTCCCATTTAATTTCATTAAGTATTTTTAAAAGTTTTTTTGCATTTCATTTAAAGGCCCTTCCAAGAAGACAGGTAGACCAGAAAACTGGTACTTCTTCATGAGTCACTGATACATTTTGACTTTTAAGGGACATTTATAAAATAAAAAGGAGAGACACATAGGACACATGTATAAGTGTCACTAATTTATAAGAAGGGTATCAGAAAGGTCACAGTTGTGTATGTGATAAAATTAATAAAAAGAAAAACACAAAGCCAAACTATTTTAAATTCTATTCATTTCAAAGAAAAGACCAAGGGTACCCAACTGATGAATGAAAATGAGAAAGTAGGGACCGTCACCCATTACTTTGCTTCTGCGCTCTCCACCACGAATAGTTTCTGAACTGAGATGAAGAAAACGAAGTCAAAGGAGATTGAAAAGTTTCAAAGTACAAATCTCAGGTCATTTAGAACATATGCAAATGCCTCCACAGTGATGCAGCGGGTACTAAAGGATATGAGGAAAGCAAACGTCATTCTGGTTTTTAAAAAGGGGAAAAACGTTGACTTCCGTAAATCTACACACTGGGAGAGGCTATCCATTAATTCCAGGTTGAGAAAATTTAGAAAGTTTATTTAATGAAAGGGATACTTTATGAGTAATTAAAGAAAGAGCCAGAAAGACTGAAGGAAAACAAATTGTATTGGACGAGGGGTCAATTTCAGAGCTCATGAGACATTTCTCAAGTGCTCCGCATGTCCAGCACATCACTGTTGCTCCACAAAGTATTTACTGAAAAAAGGAATGATGAGTTTCATTTCCTTTTTTGAGAGCAGGACTGCTGTCAGAGAGTAAACGTTGAAACAGTTTGTGTATTATAAAGTGTTTTGAGGTACTTTAATAATAATACACTTGAGTGTTAAATGGTCAGACCTACCTAGTATATACAGAAGGTGTGGAATTCATTCATTTGTTCATTCAACAAATACTTACTAAATGCTTCTATATGGCATGTGCTGAACAGATGGTAGTTTAAAATAGACTAAATTTCAGTCTTCATGAAGCTTATACATTCTAATTGGGGGAGATGGTCAATAAACACATTAATAAAAATGTTATGTCGAGGGGGGAGGGTACAGCTCAGTGGTAGAGTGCGTGCCTAGCAGGCATGAGGTCCTGGGTTCAATTCCCAGTACCTCTATTAAATAGATAAATAAAATAAAATTACCTCCCCCCACCAAAAAATGAAGTAAAATAAAATGTTATGCTAGATGATGAAAAATACTATGGAGAAGCATTTATCAAGGAATGAGGACGCAGAGGAACAGGGTGACTTGTCAGGAAAAGCCATTTGGATACTGAGCTGACAAAGGTGAGGGAGTAAGCCACGAGGACACCTGGCAAAGCAGTCAAGTAAGGACTTTTGCAATATTCTTAAGGACAAATGGAGAAATAGGTGCTGTATGACAACTCTTTTAGGAGTATTCCAAACAAAATGAATGCTTATTCTCCCAAAGTGCTAATTAATAAAAGGACTGATACTGGCCTGAAGGGAGGTTTTTAGCATCATTTTGTAGAGCTCTGATTAGAGCTCTGTAGTAGTTAGTATTTAATAATGACTTGAAAATACAAAAAGCCAGCGAATTAAATCTGAAGATGACACAAAGCTGGAAGACAAAGTTGAGATCCTTGGACTACAGAAATAACATTCAAAGAAGTCTTAAGAGCTGAAGTTATCACCCAAATCCAACAAGATAAACTGATGATGTCCAGAAAGTATTCTGCAAGGTGCATGGTAAGGAGGTATGACTGAAGTTAACAACACGTTAGAAAAAGAAAAAAAAACCTCTTAGCTGCTTTTTGCTGACACTGAGTGCTGCCTGACTGTTGGTACAGGACTGCTCCCCAAAAGACGAACTACTAAGGAACTATGAAGCGAAGTACGTAGGACCAGGGAAATGATACCTCCATTCAATTCTATTTTCACCAGACCACATAAAGGGTATTTTGTTTTGTCCTGAAAATACAAATTTAAGACAGATTTGAACACAGATGCATGTACATAGCACCTGGGATTAAAACTCATGTAATAAGAAAATTGTGTGAATGAACTAAGGATGTTTAGAAGAAAGATGGACAATACACTAGTATGTGTGAGGGTCAGAAGGGCTGTCAGGGGGAAATAAAACTGAACTTTGAATTCAGTTTATCACACAGAATAGAACTAGGACCGAAGGGCAGAAGCAGCAGGGAAGAAGTTTTGACTGATCATATAAAAAAGTCAGTCATTCAGGTCTGATGTTAAAGACTCCCCGCCACAGACTAACCGCCTTGGGAGAGGAGGGATGTCTAAGTGTTAAAAACCATTAAACACAAGAATGCAGATAAATGTTTGCTTTTTTTTTAAAAATGGTATTATTTAATTGTTTTATTTTGGCAGAGGGGAAAGCAAATTAGGTTTATTTATTTTTGGAGGAGGTACTGGGGACTGAACCCAGGACCTTGTGCATGCTAAGCATGCGCTCTATACCACTTGAGCTATACCCCACCCCCTAAATTTTTTTTTTTAAGTCTGTACTGGTTTAATCCATGTCTAATGTAGTTTACAAAGGGAAAGGACAAGTACCTTTGTATAGAATATACAGACACAGCATCACACCATGGAGCCCACGAGAGGGGCGAGGGAGACAACACTTTTCCTTGGGAACGGCAGCTCTAATCCCAGGAAAGGTTCTCGGCAGGAGGCTGGGCAGCCAGAAGCACCCTCATCCAGCCCGTCTCAGCCCCTGCTTCAGCTCGGCTCCCATCTCCTGTGCCTCCCCCTCCCCCAACTCCTTATGAAGAGCCCCAGGAGCTAAGACTAAGGAGAGGATCATGTCCCTTGGGGCGTGTGCCCCACGTCGGGGAGAAGAAATATACACCACTGAACACCGAGCACATAGGAGAGGGAAGGGACACCAGGGAGAGGGAGTGGGAGAGGCAGCTACCCCAAGAGGTGGGTGGGCCGAGCCCCCAGTCAGCCCTGAAGAGGCACTGCTTCCAGGTGTTCGTAACAAAAGAAGAAAATCGTACAACCGGGGGAGGGAGAGGGCCAGCTGTCCCACTTACACACAACACTGTAAACATGCACGGCCTATAGTACATGAGCTTCAGTCTGGTGTTTGCATGTCTGTCTGTCCATCTGTCGGTCTAGGGGCTGGATCTCAGGAGCCTTGCCGGGCTACTCCCCACCCCCGCCTCCATGCCGCACCCTGGAAACAGAACCTGAAACAGTTATGGTCCCCAGTCTTGGCGGGAGCCAGCAGGCAGGGCCTGGGCCTCAGCCCCGACTCTGGCTTAGAGTCCTGTGTGTGTGCATGTGTGTGCGTGCATGTATGTACACGGGGAACCTGCGTGCAAGTATGTACAAGGAGGAGTCATGTCACAGGCGGAGCAGGTGGGGCTCAAGGCAGGCCTGCCTGGGGTGGCTAGCTCACACGCAGATTCTCCGTAGGTCTCCAGGTGCTGTGATGGTGTTGCACTGGGGGCAGAGCTTCTTGGACCCAGGGTCCGCGGCCAGCACTCCTCACAGTGCACGTGTCAACACTGGATGGACGTTAGGGGCATCGAGTATGAGTCCATGCAGATGAGGCGTTTGTAACGGTCCCCACGGGAGAGCTGCCGTTGGAGTTCCCAGACTTGAGCCTTCAGGGCCTCAAACGTGGTCACAGTTGAATCTTCAGTGATTTTCTAGATGTCGCTGTTCTTGCAGGTCTTCTGCATGGCCTCCTGCTTGCTGCTCTCACCGCTGCTGGTAGATGGCATCTCATCACCGGCCCATTTCGAGAACTCAGGTGTGATGCGTGTGCTGGGAGGGCCGCCACTTAGGCCTGCGCCCCGGAGTGCCTCTCGCTCCTTGGCTTCGCCAGGCTCCTCGCCCGCTCAGGGGATGACGTCAGCCTCCGTGTACCGTGGCTTCCCGTACTCTGGAGTGTCATCCCCACCCACATCCAAGGCAGCATCACTGTCCGGATTCTCTTTGCCGCCGCACATGACGAAGCCAGAGCCTCGGAACCCACCTTCCAGGCCAGTGGGGGCCCGTCTCCGCTTCTGCCCGCACCACTCATACGCCTCAGAGCGGTTGCTGTTCTCACGCTCCATGTCCGCGGCATCGTCCTCAGCCACGCAGGAGCCTTCCCTCTTAAAAAGGCAGTGCTCCGCTTGCCTACTCACCTCCTGCTCCGATCCTGCCAGGGGGCGGCTGCACAGGGGACGTACCTGCCCTTCATCTTGCTTCCTCCGTTTCATTTTCCCAATCCGAGCATTCAGTCGGGTCTGCCGGTTGGC